CATACGTCTTGTATGTTCTCATTTATGTTGATGATATGCTGATAACCGGGAACAACACCACTCTTGTGGGACAGTTTCTTACCGCCATAGCCTCACGGTTTTCGTTGAAACATTTGGGTGACATGAGTTATTTTCTTGGTATTGAAGTAACCAGGAACTCGCATGGGCTTCATCTAATGCAGAAAAAGTATGTGATCAATCTTCTAAAACGCACCAACATGCTTGATGCTCGTCCGGTTTCCTCACTGATGTCGCCTACACCAAAACTGTCTCTCACGTCAGGCACTCATGTAATCAATTTAAGTGAATAAAGAATGATCCTTGGCAGTCTACAATATTTGGCTTTCACTATACCAGACATTGCGTACACAATCAACCGTCTCTCAATTCATGCATAAACTGACGAACATTCATTGGCAGGCTGTTAAGCGTATATTGCGATATCTTGCTGACACTCCTGCTCATGGCAATCTCATACGCGCGAACTCCCTGGCTACTTTACATGCTTATTCAGATGCAAATTGGGCGGTGATGTTGATGATTACCTCTCCACCACTGCTTACATTTTTTATCTTGGAGGAAACCCAATATCATGGTTTCCAAGAAGCAAAAAGGTTTGGCACGCTCGTCTACTGAGGCAGAGTATTGAGCTGTTGCTGACACCGCATCGGAACTTTGGTGGGTTTTCTCCTTACTCTCGGAACCTGGTGTGTCAAACTCGGGTTTCCACTCTCGAATGAAACATATTGCCTTAGACTTTTATTTCATTCGTGATAACGTCCAGTCAGGAGCATTGCGTGTTACACACCTGTCTACAAGAGACCAGCTCGCGGGCTCTCTAACAAAGTCTCTCACACGCAACAGGTTTACAGAGATCATGGACAAGATTGGAGTTACTCAAGTACCTCCATGTTGAGGGGGTGTATAGGAGATATGTAATTAAGGTTATAAGTGTCATTATCTCTAACCTAAACACTCTTGTAATATCTATATATATTGTAACATTTACATCTAATGAGAATCATTCAGCCTACAATCATATAGTGCCATCAAGGGATGCCACCAAAGGGTGCCATCAAGGGATGCCACCAAGGGGTGCCATCAAAGGATGCCACTAAGGGGTGCCATCAAGGGATACCACCAAAGGGTGCCATCAAGGGATGCCATGAGGGGGTGTTAGCTAAGGGATGCAAGTGTATCGTGATCCAAGGGACGCGAGTACACCGTGATCTAAGGGATCCGATATCATATTGTGACCCGAGAAGTACGAACGTGTCTTGGGTACGAATGTGTTGTGATCCAAGGGGTGCAGACGTGTCGTGATCCAAGGGGTACAAATGTGTCAAGATCGAAAGTGTACGAACAATTCGGGACCAAAAGGGTACGAACAAATCGGTACCGAAAGGATACAAATGGTTCCGGTCCAAAAGGGTATGAATGATTCGGATCCAAAGAGGTGCAATTAATAAAAAGGACCCCACTTGCATTGTATAGGGTGTGGACCCACATAATGGTAATGGGTTGTCGGCTTAGTCAATGCTGGATATAAAGGATGAGGGTCAATCATGATTACTGTAGAGTTCGTTGACCATATGCAATGGTTTGAGGGATAAACACTAGTATTATTGGGGTCATGTCTTTATATCAGAAACGCCAAACAGGTGTGAACCACCGAATATGGAAATTCAAAGAAGGGCGCCATATACTTTATGTAGGACGTGGACCCACATGATAACAATACATGCTAAGTGGACGATGGATTATCATGACTAGTCGCTCGATCATGTTTCATGACGATGGTTCGATGGCAAAATGCTAGTATGGATGGTCACATTGCTAGAGTAAGAGTATTGATGTGATTATCCTAGATATCAACCTCGGTGTTGATAACCTCAAAATTGTCTAAGAGTCATGGCGAGTGTATGACTAGTACTATGTGTCATAGACCATAAGTATTTAGCCTAAGTGTGATTGTTCAAGAAAGGCTGTGTCAGCTCTGATCATGGTTGAGCATGGACGACCTCAGCCATAGGTAATGGTTCAAGGTGTCGGAACTAACCTGATTAATGAATGTGGTATGAACAAATCATATATGTTGTCTGAGATATAGTACATGCCAATCAGGAAAGATATTGAAGACTCATTGAATCCAAGTGATGTGAGGATGGTTGGTTGATTGACTTAGGATCTAATGAGTATTGTTAGTCCAGAGATGGACTAGGTACCTTAGCCTACAAGGCGTAAGAATGTTGGATTGTGCATAAGCCGAGAAGGGCTAAATGCATATCTTTATCCGTTCGAAGACTTTTCAAAGGTTACTTATGTGTGTGGGGATGGTTGGCTGAATGACTAAGTACCTATGGGAGCTGTTTGATGCATGAATCAAGATAAAGACCTTAAGTAATATCATTGAATGATCGTGGTCCAGCAGACAAGCAAGTGTAGTTCGGATCAATGGAGGACCGATGAGCTAACAAGCTCTGTGGATGTGGAAAAGCTAAGATCTAGCAACTCTTGCTTAGATCTAGATTACATAGTTTAGGGGAATGGAACCTCAGAATTGTATGTCTTGGTTTGGGTTTAGGATTGACCTTTAAGCTAATTGGTAGTTGAGTAAACTGACCAAGGCTAAGGTGATTCGACCTAAGAAGTGTTAGATTAATTTTAGACCAATGGTTAGTTAGACAATATTCCGCTGCGTATCTATTGAAATGATCTAAGATATGAAATGGCTAAGGTGGTCTTAAGATAAGGTCAAAGGTAGTCCACGGCTAAAAGAAAACTTCTAAATAAAGGGCAAAAATTTAAGGGTTTGGCCATGAAGTTGACCGAGCGACGTGAGGCGTCAACCTCGACCTAGGCTGCCGGGATCAGGTCTTACACAACTGTCCAAAAAAGCACCTGAGTCAAAGAAACCTCCTAAAACCACATTGTTGATGTGCTTATTTGGAGAATAACATGTATTAGAGAGAGCAGCACAACCTGCACCGTGATATCTAAGGGACAACAGGCATACCATGACAGAGTCAGAGGCCAACTCACATATGCAACATGCTGCAAGCATACACCACAACAAACGCAAATCTACCAAGGAAGCACATCAGAGGCACCACCACCAGAGAACAAACAGGGGAACTCCAAAACGAGCAAATAGCACAAATCTCACCCAAAATGGTGAAACATGGAACCTGGATCCTTCTGCAAAGCCCAACACACCCAAGCTACTACAACGGAGGAGAAACTATGCACCAAAGAGGATTACAGGGGCCTTAGGCGTCACCTTGCTTGGAGCTACTTGCATATAAGGGAAACATCTCGTCAGAGAATCTACAACAATTAGAGGACAAACACAGGTGAGATCATCTTCAAGCAACTCCAACCACTGTAAAAATTCTAAATCTAAAGAGAAAATAACAGATATGAGTCACACAATCAATAATATTTTGAAAATGGCCCAGAGAAAATACAAAAACAAAGGAGGATGATAAACAACGGACCTGATGGCTGCATGTTGGAGGCGGTGGCCGCCAGAGAAGGTAGAGATTAGGGTTGTCAAATTTATAAAGATAGATACGTTTCTAAGGTCTTGATTGGCCGAGCTGATGATAAAGCAATAACAGTGTATATTCTCATTACTATTTAATAACACGATTAGTAGAGCAACATGAGCATGTTATTAAGTTATTATAAAAGTATATAATGTATAATCTATTCAGATTATATATATATATATATACTTATTTAATAATATCACAAAATTATGTTTATGACAAAAATAAAAACTTATATTTTAAAATAAATTTACACTTTAATACATTTATTTTAAAATAATATTTCACATTTAAAATATTATAAATTATATTTTAAATGTGAAGTATTATTTAAAAAGTAAATAAAAATACTTCATTGTAATTTTATTTTAAAAGTATAATTCTTTTTTTGATATAAACATAATTTTATGATATTAATAAGTAAAATAAATTAGTTATATATTTTTCTTAATTTTATAAATTATAAATAGAAATGATTTACTAAAAACTTTATATGAGAGCATTGAGCAAAAAAAAAATTCATTTGGTAAATGATTTTCTAAATGTTTTATAGCAAATGTTGATTGGAATTGAGCATGATGCTCTCATGCTAGTTCTAGACCCAAAATACAATGTAGGTTATTGTTTCTTTCTATAACCTTTTTCTGGATAGTCACGTATTCTTTTCTTTTTGAATATTTTAGTTTATTATTGAAATCTGAAATGGAATTTTGTTGAACAAAGAAATTCATGACACGTTGACGAGAGCAGAGCCAGACGAAAGTTTTACTGGGGGAAATACAAAATTTATCTTCAGTTTGTAGTAGGGATAGGCACAAGCCAAGTACTTGTCATTTATGGCGTACTTAGTACTTGGCTTGGCTTATTCGAGTAATATAATTTTAGACTTATATTTGGTTTATTAAAAACGAGTACTTGTATTTTCAAGTACGTACTTGCTAAAAATTGTATACTTACAAGTACTTGTTCTGTTTTACTACTTGTTGCTTCTAAACTAATTTATAAAATTATTTGTAAATTATTTAGTAACAGTTATTAATTTTATCTACTTAAACTTTGTATATGAATTTAAGAAAAATTTAATTAGTTATAATTATAATCTAAACAATTTTTAATAAAAAAATTATTTACTTTTCATATGTTTTTAATCGATATATGGTAAATATAAAATTAAAAGAAAACTCTTAAATATTTTTATAATATATCACTAAACGAAATTAAATACTGTTGCCAAATGAAAGCAAAATTAACTACTTTCTTAAAAACTGAAGGTGTGTATGTTAGGTAACGGTTAGAGGGTAAATTTTCTGGGTGAAATAAATCAAATGATTAGTTGTAAACTATTGAGTTAGTGGTATAAATTGCAAGCAACATATTTTACAATTTTTCTGCAACAATTTAATCTGAAAAAGTTTGTAAACACGAAGGTGGGGGGTTTTTGGTGGACCATCAGGTGGTTTTGGTTTTGGCTGTACCAGCAAAGTTTGCGATTCGGACAGCCTGTGTTTCGTTGACAGTGTGATATTTTAAAAACGTATCTGAGATGTTGGAGATCCTAAATAATTTAGTAACATTTAAAAAAAAAAATTCTACAAATTCTACAAATTTTTTAAATAAAATTTTCTAAGAAAATTAAAACCCTAATCAAATGTTTTATTTCGTTATATTCAGGACCACCCATGGACCTTATATATGGTTTGTTCGGGTTCACCAAACCTCCACATGTGGAAACCTGACTTTTAAATTGTACACTGTATGTCATGCATATCATTCGATTTTGAAAAGATGCTAACAATCGATCAATTCAAATTAATGATCTGTTGTAGCCCTAATCTTTTTATATGGTAATGCTAAAGACAAAAGTTAGTCACTCAATTTTTGCAAACGATTGAGTGATTGGACTTTACTGAATTTGTATATGTTTTTAATATTTCACGACAGAAGAAAAAACATTTATTTTTTTGTCGACCAAATAGGAAAAAAAGAAACTTCTAAATTTCGAATTTGGAAATATAAATTTATTGTCTCATAATCGGTCTACAAACATAATCTCATCTGTGTCCCAACGAGATCCAAACCCTGGCAATATAAAAATATATTTTAAACCGGTTGTGCACACAAAAAATAAATAATAACCGGCTGAATTGACTTCTTTCTTTTAAACAGTAGTGTATGTTTTATTTTTTATAACTCTTACCAACAGAACAGTTGATCCAAAACATATATCTTCTTCTTTTTCCCAAAACATATCTTCACTAACTTTTTAATTCTAAATGATTTATTTTGTTGAAAAACAAACTTCATCTTGCTATGAATATTATGTATTATCTATTAAGGAAAGTGATAGATTTACTTATTATCCACTCCAAGTTAGACTTTGTATCCAAATCATTATAATCTTATATAAATGATTTATTACTCATAGAATAAAACACATCAATTCTTTCTATTCTCTTCTCTACTTATAACATATTATTATCATGAAACTCTAACGGTCTTAAGCTAAGAGGTATAAATTTTATTTTTCTGTTAGAATAATGTTATTATAGACTCATGGTTCAACTTGAGTTTTTAAAGCCTTAGTCGTTGATATCGATTTGCCTTTGTTTGGAGGTAATAAAATCGTCTGATCAATTTGATAAGATCATGTCGACGTTATAAGCTTATGCTCAATATCATAATGATTACGTTTGTATGAATGATTTTTTTTTTTTTTTTTTTGACAACGAAAGACAGTCTTAGCTAAGTGATCGGAAACAACATTTAGAGATCTAGGAACATAAGTAATCTTGAACTCTGGGAAACAAATCCTCAACGTCGTGATCCTCTCCAGTTCCGTCGAGAAACTTGGCCATCCATGAGGATTCGTTCGCCATCAATAACGTATGAATGATTTTACTTAATCGTTTATGGTGCTTTATTATTATATTTCTTTCATTCATCATGTTATTTTGTTTCACATGTCACCACGTTATTGTTTCATTATAAAGTTAACACACTAGTATGCACATATTCCATAGTAGTATTGTTTTATTCATTTTAATGTTTAATATACAGCTGCATGTATAATTAATATGGTTGCTCACTTCGTCTGCACATGCATATAATAATCTGAAATCAGAAAAGGTGGCATATATTAAGAGTGATGGATTCTCGTCCACCACTGTTTCTCTTTTATATAAGTCACACTCAACGGGCTAGGTGGCCCCATTTCACCTTGGGTATATACAAGTATAGTTTTATTATGCCAGATTAAACTAATCTACGCAAGACTGATTATAAAAGTTGCTCTATGTATTTTCCATCCATGTAATGACGTGTTTCGAACAAAAAACAGAAAACAACATCACCTTTAAAAGGAAAAAAAGGGTTTAGACTACAACCAGTTAATATTAGTTACTCCCTCAGTTTCAAAATATTCAATGTTTTAAATTTATGACATATATTAAAAAAAATTATGAAATTTTGATTATCAATATATTATTTTTATAACTAACTATTCTTATAACTTTTACTCACTAAAATGTTAATAAACATTTTGAAAATTATAAATCGCCATTAATTGTTCAACATAGTTAACCTTTACGGCTGCATGTAACATCGCGGGTACAAATCGAATGGTCGATTTTGTCCAAGCCGTTTGATTAAATATTATCATGCTAAATTGTTTAGTATCAGAAAACCATGTATCTGTTTGAAAATTAAGATATCATTGGTTCATATGGCCTTATGCTTTGAGTAATTGAGAAACAGATTCAAATTGATATATAAACTATATAATTGGTTTGACTGTTTGCTTTTGCATTGTTTCATAATGTCAGATCTTTTTTTTTGTCACGTCCGATTTTACTTTTAACATATACTAGAGACTTTTTCCGCGCTACGCACAGATTATATACTTAAAAGTTATCATAAATTATATACTACGATTTCTATTTTATTTTAATTGTATTTTAAGTTTTATATTTAAATATGATATGTAACGACATCAACCATTAAAAATTATTCTACTTAGATTTTCATATATTTCTATATTAATTCTAGATTAATATATAATCTAAATTTGATTATATACATTATAAAATATGTATATACATATATTAAAAGTTATCAAATTTTAAGTGAAATCAATATTATTTATAAGTGATTATATATTGTTTTAATGTGTTAAATAATGTAGTGTGCTAAATATTTAACATAAAAATGAAATTTCATAGGTATCATAAATTAGTTTGTGAAATGAATTACTTTAATTCATGTAAATATATCATTAAAAAATTTTGAAAATTATTTTTAATGGCTAAGTAAACAACTGTAGATAATTTGTGTCTCCATGAAAAGTAATTTAACAAATAACCAGATTTTAACTAAATGGAAAAATTTAAAATCTCTTTACACTAAACGTAAATTATAAACTTTAAACCATAACCCTAAGCTCTAAACCAAACCAAACTAATATAGGTTAATTTTGGTTAAAGTTTTCTTAGACCCAAATAACCCAAACCAAAGCAAAGCCATAATAGAACTGAAATGTCCATCCCTACTGCACATAGTGCAGAAAAATACCTAATACTAAATTAAGATGATCATTAAAAAAATATGAAAAACTACCTAATATCTAATATTAAAAATAAACATTATAAACTTGTAATTTATTTAACTTATCTACAGTATACGTTGAAACACTATAAAGTACCTAATACTAAATTATGATGATCATTTATCATAATGGAACTATATAACTTCTCTACAGAAAAATACCTAATACTAAGTTAAGATGATCATTTATCATAATGGAACTTTGGTTAGTTTATAGGTTCAGTTTTTATATAGTGTGACGATTATTTTTGTTTAATGATTAATGTGAAATCGTATTGCTCCGATATATGAAAAACAAACATTATAAACTTGTAATTTATATAACTTCTCTACAGTATTCGTTGAGATACTATAAACTGTAAATGTAAGTCTATTCATCCCATTTGTCCTTAGGGATCTCTCCAGAATCAGCAATCATAACTTTCTTCCTTAGTTTTCCACTATAAGTACTTCTAGGCTTAGGCATTCGGATATTCGGTTCGGTTCCGGATAGGAACCATTCGGTTCCGGGTATATCGGATAAATCATTCTTATATCCAATAGATACTTATGAGATTTAGGTTCGGTTCCAGTTCGGTTTCGGTTCGGTTCCGGGTACCCATTTAATATAAAAATCAAATATATATATATATATATATATATATATATATATATATATATATATATATATATATATGCAGAATATATTAGTTAATATGTTATTTTAAATGGTCTAGTGTTTATATGCTTACATATTAGTCAATCCAGCAAGAATTCGAATCAATAAAGTGCTAATTTTATAAATATTTATCATATTTAAATATAGAAATACCATATATATTTATAATATAACAGAATAAATAAAACATAACGCGGTCTGGTGGTAAAAATGTACTCATTCTTTGTATCTGACTTGGGTTCAAGTAAGCCTAATGTCATTTTATCTTATTTTTAAAACATTTAACTTGTTTTTCGGATATTCGGATACCCATTCGGTTCTCGGTTCGGTTCTGGTTCCGGTTCGGTTTTTCGGGTATTGAAATATAGGAACCATTCGGATATTTAAGAATTTCGGTCCGGTTTCGGTTTCGGGTATTTAGGTTCGGTTCCGGTTCGGTTTTTCGGTTCCGATTTTTTTGCCCAGGCCTAAGTACTTCAATGGAAAACACATAGTACATCCCTTGTATAACCTTCCCAAACACAACATATTGCCCTTCCAACCTATCCACCCACATTTCAAATGCCAAATCATGAATGAAACTACGTATTATTATAAAGCAGAACCGTTCGTTCAAATGGTTGTGTTTGTCTTAAACTCAAAGCTCTTGATCCAAATACTATTCGGTTCTATGTAAGAGCATGAGGGTTTATAAATGAAAGGAGAGAGTACCAGATAGACTTGACAATAGTGATAAAGAACTGTGAGCCATTAGAATCAGGTCTTGTATTAGCCATCGCTACAACACCTACATAACACACAGATTTGGTTTAGCTACAAGAAGAATACATGAAACTCACTTTCCTAAGCTGGTATAGAGAGTAAAAGTAGGCACCTGCATGTGAATGCTTTACTTTGAAATTTTCTTCAGGAAAGGTGCCACCATAGATTGACTCACTCCCTTTCCCATCACCATGGATTAAGTCTCCTCCTTGGATTACGAATCCATATACTATACGGTGAAAAGGTTTTCCTTTATAATGTAGAGGCTTTCCGGTTGAAGTTTTCCCTTCTCTCCTAAGTTAAGTGTTCGGATCCATTTAATAAGAAACTGAAGCATCCGATTTCAAGATAAACACTAATCATTTAAGTAGTAAAAGTGTGCATAAAGCCCTGAAATTTTCTGCCAAAAAATAAATAAATAAAAGAACTCTACCATTAGAAAAACTATTTAAACAATTGAAAACCACATATCCTCAGTTTTTGTATTGAAGATGACAAAGACATACCTACAATTTTTGGTACAACAGTGCCGTATAATCCAATAACGATCATGCCTGCACGTATTGCAACAAAGACAACAAAGCTAAAAGTAAGCAAATGGCAAAGAAGAGGGTGTACATGACCACAACAAAAACTGTTTCCATTGAAGAAAGGTGAAGAAGCAATCTTATTTTGTTTTCTTATATCAACTATTCTACAAAGAAAGAATATATATATAAGTTCCTTTTACCTAAGCGCTGGCCCTCGATATCAATATCTAGGAACACTCTGTGTGTAATTTCGTAATTCTCAGTGACTTGCTTCTCCTCTTCTTCCTAGGCATCAAGAGAGCAAGCAAAGAAAAAAAAACACATAGAATCAGAGTGTGTAATCCGTCGGACAGGTTCTATCATCTAACCTACGATTTTCTTACGTAGACATTCGATTACGACTTAAAGAAACACATAGAATCAACGTAGTCAAAAAAATTTTGAAGCCAGTCGAAAAAAAACAGAGAACCTGTAAATGCTTAAGGCATTAAGGAAAAATATACACATATCATTAATTATTCTTTCGCTCTTTCTAGCCATAAGATCTATTCAACATATTTTCGACTTACTATTAATGTTAGAGATTGTAAACATTCATAAAAGACTCACATCACCTAACATAAATAATCGCAACTCAACAAGAATCTGCTAACCGAGGATCATCAAGAAAATAAGGAGTTAACTGACCCGAGATCGTTTGTTAGTACCATCCCGATTGTACAAGTAAAAATATTCGCTGGAACCCTCCTTTCGTTTTTTTTTTCATTTATCGAGGTACGTGTTTAATTTTCGTTTATACATATGTTGATCCTTGTTTAAAATATCATCATTTTTATTTGATTATTTACAATATGTTTGCATTTGTCATAAAGAATAGATTCGATGGAAATTCTAACATTCGTAGACAACAAATAAAAGTTGAGTTATGGGATTTTAATTCAAAACACAAATTATATAGGTTTGCATGATGTATTTGGGAAAAAAAACCTTTATTATTATATAGAATTATTAAAGTGGCAAAAATATTTGCACATATTTATCCATGTATTTTAGTTTTAGTATTTAACATTTTATGTTATAAATCTAGAGATTATATTTAAAGAAAATTATGTTTTTTGTTAATATAATTTTTATTTCACACCGTGCAAGGCGCAGATCTCTACCTAGTTTTGATTATTTAACACATATTTTATAAGAAGTGTGTTTCCAACACCATCTCCATGGCAGATCTTCAGTCTTCAGTTCACTTCTCCACTACTGAGATAAGTACTATTTATCATGTTTAATAAAATTTCATACTCAATTAAAATCTGATTATATGAATTAATCTATATGTGATCTGAATTGATTTGAATTTTAATTAGTCAATTTTGAGATGAAAAATAATCGTATGATAGTAAAAAAAGAATTTTAGTGAATGAGAAAATTTAGAGTATTATTTACTTTTAATATAATAAAATGTTTATAATCATACATATCTCTATAGAAAGATATATATATATATATATATATGTATAATTTGGCTTATATTTTTATTAATAAAGTGTATTACCATTATATATATGTGAGTCTTAAGTGTAAGGCTTGACTTTAAAAGATCCATAAGTTTTGGAAAACAATCGAAAGAAAGATATAATCATCTGAATGTGATTATCTAAAAGTTCATTATGTATTTTGCATCTAAAGACAGTCTGTTAATGAGTACTCTGTTGAGAGAATATCAATGATGCAAAGATATTAAAGAATATATATATTCTCACACAAGTAATGTTTTCCAACATACACATGATTGAGAAAATAGATTAAAGAAGTTTATACTTGTATCTTGTCTCCTTGAGAATAAGAGAAACAATGAGCTATTGATGAAAGATCATAAATCACGTTTAGTTGGATATGATTCATTTTCTTAAAGAGAATTTGATACTTTGAGAAAGAAAATCCACAAAAAAATAATATCGGTAAAGAAAGTTGTTATAGACGTGAATGTGGATGTATATATGGTTATGGTCAAGGTCAAGGTCAAGACCAATGAATTTCTATTTAGAACTTGTATTCTCACTTAAAGTTGAAAAAATAAAGATGATAATAAAGAAATATATTATTCAAGCATCTAAAGATGAAAGAGTTTCTTTTTAAAACTCACATCCTCACTTGAAGTTGAGAAAATAAAAATAGTAATAAAGAAGAGATATGATTCAATTATCTAAAGATAAAAGAAAATTATTGTGAGAACAATACGAGGTCTTATTAACCTCATAAAATCTTCAAAGAGAGAATATATATGAATACTCCATAAGAGTACATAAACAATCCTTGATGTATTATATTCTCATAAGTCTCAAAATTAAGGATCTAAGAAAGAATACATGACGCAAATAGGGTATGTTGAGATTCAATTCGAGATTGACAAACTTGTGGTTATATCATCTCGAGGGGAAGAGTTAAAGAATCTCATATTTTATGATACGTGAAACATCCAGAAATTATGTTTACACTAAAACTAAGATTAATGAATCCTTCTTAAAGTAGACATGTGAGATTTTGACACAATTTATGTTGAGCTAATAAGCAATAGAATTGATATATACATACTTCTCAAGGTTTTAAAAGTATTTTAGAGTGCATCTACATCCTCTTATAAATGTATAATGGAGATAAATGTATAGTAAACCAGAAGTTTACACAATACTTGGCATGAACCGGTTAGACCATTTTGGTTCAGTAATGATGTGAAAAGATTCTTAAAGTTTATGCTAATAGTCAGTGAAGAACCATAAGATTCTTCCGTATGATTTGACATATGTTGCTTGCTCACAAGATAAAATGGCAATGATGTTTTCACCTGCCAAAGAAAGTTATTGGCATGAATAAAAGAGATGTTTGTGGACTGATCACCCACCATGCATCTTTATATTATTGGTGAATTCACTTCTTAAAGTCTTTGACAACTATAGAAAATTCACTAGATTAAGTGCTAAACATTTGAGAAGCACTAATTTGCATCAAGCCAACAAGTAATCACTACTTCTCCTTACCATTGATATTGGGTCGGAAACCAATCATTTTTGTTTAAGAATTGTGGATGTGCAATATAGATTCAGTTTCTCCACACAAAGCTTAATTATGTTGTGTTTTCAAGTAAGGTTGGGAATAATGTTGGAAATGAATCTCCATTGATAGTTAAGAATCTAGAGTCATCTTTGAAGGATATGACTAAGGCTCGATATGAATGCTAATAATGAATTAGTATTTCCACCATAAGTGGAAGAAAATAAACAGCTGAAAAAGAAAATAAGCTGACATGAACTATCATTGATCCCCGGACTAAAGAGAATATCAAATAGATAGAGCTTAATAAAGCAATTACCAGATACATTTGCTGACCCATATAAATAGAGTGATCAAGTCACATATACTAGCCGTAAATGCTCCAAGAATAGTTGATGTTCTAGAAGAACAATATCAAACTACTAAACACGCCTGAAGCGTTGTAGACATCTTGGTTCCAAAGATAAGAATCCTCGTAAATGAAAAAAGCACATATTAAAAATGGTCAAAACGAGAAAATGGATTTTTTGAATGATCTCCAGAGAGACATTAAACATGACTGAAAGAAATTCAGGTACCTGAGACAATGAAGAATCTCAATAAATTTAAATCATGTATGAAATAAAATGGAACCGATAAGCAAACCGACGTCGATAATATATATGTATGCATAGTAGCAGTTGACATGATAAATGTGAAAGAAGATCATGAAAGAAAATCTATTAAAAAGTGTACACAAAGAAATGATTGGCCAAATCAGAAAAAGTAATAGACAAAACTAGAAACTCTTATAAAAGAGATAAGTATTTGGACCAATAGTTCATACACAAAATGTGTAAAACATGTGGGATCGAAATGAATCGTTGCACCAAAGAAAAATCAATGTGAAAATGATTATGAAAAAAAATAGTCTCATGTGATAGATGCAACTATTTTCAAGTTCCTTATTAGTCTTGCAATAAAGGAAAAATTTGAATAATATGACCCACTGGAAATAATAATCTCTGAAAGATAAATCCATAAAGGATTGATGATATCAAAATCATGTTCCCGGAAACTCTAGCTATTGGATCAAAATATGCTTATGGGATATATGAAATACTCGAAGTTAAAAAATACCCAATTTATACTTATCCAGTGATTATAGATCAATAGAATCATTGATCTGAATATAATCAAAACTCTTAAAGAATTATGGAAAATTGTATATTGAAGAAATTTGTATTCCAAACTGAATATCAAAAAAAATGTTATTTTAGAGATCCTTAAAGGATTTTATATTAAGATGCTCAAATATATTTGGTTTTGAAATGCCATATTTAAAGTGTTATTTGGACAAAGTTACTAATCTATAATGTCATTAAAATAGATGATTTAATATGGCAATAAAGAAAGTCATAAAAATAACTTTATAAACAGAAATGAGTAACTCGAAATAATTAGACGAGTGTATGTAAAGATATTTGGTTTGAAGTCTAAATAGATCAAGAAAATTATTGTATATCTCAAAGAGTATTATGGATCAAAAGTCTAAAGGATAGATATCATAATAGAAATCAAAAGATTTTACTCTGTTAAGCTCAATTTCTTAAAGACATATATTTGACTGGAATGCACATCCTGAAGTGTTTTGTTTCGAGGGGATAATGTGTGTGGTTGTACTCTTTTTCCATATCATGGTTTTTATCCCACTAGATTTTTCTGTGGCAAAGTTTTAACAAGGCAACAAAGAACACACTAATGATAAACACTGAAGGAGGATATTAGAATCCAATGATAAGTCTATCAACCTTCAAAAGTTTCTGAGATCAAGAGAATCAAAGATTATGATCAAACATATGATGACTCATGCACTGCAGAAGAATGGCGATGTTCGTATCCTACAAGTTCATTCAAGTGACAGTTTGGTCAGTTTATTCACTAAAGCTTTATCCACTGCTATCACCAAGAAGCTAATTCATCTTATTAGACAACACTAATGTCTCAAAGATCTCGATGTATGTACACATGAGGGAAATTCATTGCGCTGCACTTTTTTTCCTTAACAATGGTTTTTTCCATTGGGTTTTTCTGGTGAGGTTCTAACGAGGCGACATCTACGGCGTTTTGAAAGCACTTTACTATAATGGACATCAAGGGGAAGTGTTATGAATAAATATTATGTGTTTTCCATTAAGGAAAGTAATAGATTTACTTGTTCATCACTCCAAGTTCGACTTTGTATCCAAATCATTGTAATCCTATATAAATGACTTATTACTCATGGAATAAGACACATCAATTCCCTCTTTTTTTTCGCTACTTATAACACTTTTTTTTTCAAGATTGTAAGAGTAACACAGTCTTTTCATTTTTACTCATTTCATATTTACTAAAATAGTACTCTCTTTTAATAATATAAATATTTTTATAAAATCGTTTTTGAAATTTTAATGTAATTTTATTATTTAATTGTGATTATTTGAAATTTTCATAAAAATGAATTTATTGAAATTAGGTTACAGTTAATGGAAGTAGTGAATCAAACAATATTTTATAATTAACATTTGAATATTTTTATTAATAAGCGAAAACTTGAAAATATACTAAAAAAGTAAAAAGCCCTATTTTAGATTTCAATCATTTACATCAATCATTTACACTGGGTTTTAGAACAAAATTACATACAATACACAGAAAAAGCTAATTGACATACAGACATGTTTCTCCCGAAATTAAAAGAAAACTACTTTTTTATAATATTTTCAGCATTTATCTTGACTAAGAAGTAAAAAAAAAAAGAAGTCAATAGGAGCACTGAAGTCTATGATCTCTGTCTCTAAGAATCCCATTGTACAAAGCCATCCTGTTAGCAGGCATGTCGTTTTTACAAACCGAACTGGTCTTCTCCAGTTTAGTCCCCTGTTCCGGTACAATTCTCCGGAGATGTTCTCGCTTCCGATACTCTTCACCGTTCCCTTTCGGCTCCTTCACATCCTCTGAAAATTTCACCTTCTTCTTCTTCCTCAATTTCTTCTTTACCTCTGCATCAAGAAAACAAGATGTTCAGAAAAGAAAAACATTCTAGAGCCAGAGGATGATCTCATGATCGGAGAAGACAAAAGGGTACCCGAAGAAAGACATGAACGGATGATCTGTTGATCTGATGTTTGGTTATTGGAGAATTGGCGAGAAATCGCCAGAAACAGAGCAGTGCTTGAGAAAACCATGGCGGTCGCGATCACGACGCCGTGAGAGCAGCTCAGTATACAAGCCATGATTTGTTTTAATATATATGGGATCAGAGAAGAGATTCCTCGCTCAAGATTGAGAGAGAGAGAGAGAGAGAGATGAAGTTTTGAATTTGCACTTTTTAACTTTATCTTTCTTCTGAGAAGAGGCAGAGAATGAGAGAAGTTGTTGATCAGTGAATGAGTTTAAAATGAGAGCATGTGTGTGTTGCAGAGAGATTGGTCGTACCAACAACGTCACGCAAAAAGTACTGCTTGAAATTGAACGGTGAGAGATCTCTTCTTGGGTTTGAAATAATTAAGGGAAAAATGTTCTGACAATAATCATAAGTTTGGAGCTTCTTTGTGTGCCGCTGGAAAAAAAGTAGAGACAGTGTGAGGGATTGGTGTCTGGTTTAGTCACAGGCTCAAAAAGTCAAGTGGAATGGAAAGGAGCTTATAACTAGATTCACTGCATGTATTCATTTATAGTGTAAAACATATTATAAAATGATTGAACTTATTTACTCTTACATTTTTTTTTGGTTTGGGGTTTAGTCCATCTCCAATGTATTATCTTATTTTTGAGAAAAAAATAAAAAAAAATTATAATAGAGATGAATTTGTCTCCAATGTATTCCTCTATTTCTTCCTCTAAAAATAAATATTCTTAATATATTCCTTTTTAATTTTACAAATAATACTTTCATTTATGAAAATTGAAAACCAACCCAATTTATTTTAGGGACATTTGCTAAAAACAACCTAAAATTTCAAATCAAATGCAAAAGTGTACCCAATTTCAGTCAAATGAAAAATCAACCTAAAGGGGTAGAGAAATGTCTAATTACTCCTTATGACTAAACAAAAAACCAGAATGATATTTTACAATTTTATCGTTATGAAGTCTACATTTAATAAAGAGAAGTATACAAGGTGTAGACTTATTATGAAGTCAATATTATAGACTGATTATGAAGTTTACATTCTAAGTTAATCTTATAATTTTATTTTTAAAATATATAAAAATAAATTGTGTGAAATTTCTTTTAGGTAATCAATATAAGAATCAATATGAGGTATATAATTAAAATTTCATATAATTAAAAATTTTTAACGAATATATATTGATTAGGTAACAATAATGAAATAGTCATAGTAGATTTCAAAAAAGTCTACTAAGTAGACTTACAATAAAGTCTACTCCAAAATTTTAATTATAGTAGACTTCAAAAGAAGTCTATACTATCAAAATTTTTAACCTAGTTACAATTTTTGTCTCCCTATATAAATGAAATTTTGACAATCTCTCTCTAAAATGGCTGCACAAAGTTTCTAAAAGAAACTCTCACTTCTCTCTAAAACTCTCTCCCTTCTCTCTAAAATTCTCTAATTGCTCAATTCTTTGAAGGCGAAGATGAATTTTTGTTTAGTTTGTTAATTTTTTGTAGGTTAATTCATGGTTATCACCACCTTCCACTCTAAAAATGTAAGTCTTAGATCTATAGGTTTTAAATGTGTACTTTTATGTTTATATTCAAATAAAGTTACAAATATAAACTATTTGCATTTACTTTGCTAATATTTTATCTTATAAATTCTATTTTTAAAGTTTTGTTTTCAGATTAAAAACTATATTTCACATTTTCACATGTACATAGTTTTTAGATCTGAAAATTATCTGATATAGTAGACTTGTAATGAAGTCTACAAAACTAGAAGTGACTTTTTTATGTATAATGTTTTCTCATAATTTTATCTTTATTTTGTTAATATTTTCTTCCATGGTTTTTATCTAGTTTTCCCAAAAAATGAAAGATTCGCATTTTCAAATATATAATTTTTTCAGATCTGAAAATTATCTAATATATAATAGACTTCTAATGAATTCTACAAGGTTATGACTTTAATTGTTTGTCTTATGTTGTTCATAGTTTGATCTCTATTTTGCAAGTATTTTCTTTCATGGTTTTTTTCTCTTCCACAAAAAAATTGTAAGATTTACATCTATAATGTGTGCTTTTCTTTTTATATTTAAATAAAGTTACATATTCAAACTCTATGTCTATAATTTACTACTAATTTATTTTAAAATTTCTATTTTCTAAAATTTTTAGATTTAAAGTTATTTTCATTTTTGTAATGTATATATTTTTCAGATCTAAATTTTTTCGGATTGAGTAGACTACAAATGAAGTTTATTAACTTTAACTTCTAAACAGAATTCATTAGAAGTCTACTAAAATATGATTTTAAATTTTTTGTCTTATATTTTTATCATAATTATATTTTATTTTGTAGGTATTCTCTTCCAAAGTTTTCAAATCACATTCCAAAAAATGTAAGATTTACATATATTCATTTAATTTTTTTTTTGTTTATATAAAACTAAATTTATAGATACAAGCTCTATGCTTTTTCTTTGCTAATTTTAGGTTAAACACTATTTTGAATTATTTTGCAGAAAATACTATTTTCTAATTTTGTAATTCTACATTTTTAGATCTGAAATTGTTTTTGGCATGAAGTTTATTTAAAAATTAAGGCTAGTAGACTTTAAAGAAAGTCTATTGAACCCATCAACTTTAAGTAAAATTTTATGAAGTCTACTAAAAATAATTTGAATATGTTTACCTTATGTTTACTCATAATTATATCTTAGTTTGCATGTACTCTTTTCCAAGATTTCATTTGAGATATCAAGATTATGAATAATCAAACACTCTAGAGTTTTAAAAGAAATTGCTTTGTAATAATTTTTCTTTACAAAATATTCATTTGTAAATAAATATTCTGATACATAATCAATAAACATTGTATTAATTGTGTTGCACTTGTATGATATTATTAATTTTTGTTAGCAATCAGATTTTCAGAAAATACTCTAGTCAGCCAAACAGTTAAAAACCATCATAAGCTAAAACAACAACTAACACACACAATAATTAATGTGTTAAAATTATGTAATCTGGAGACTTGTTTATAGCAATTTTAGAGATTTTGAACACAAAATAGACTAATAATACAAATTAATACAACTCCAATAGCAATAAAAGAGAGTAGACTTTAGTGTTTGTCTACTTTCCTACCTGTAGACTAATAAAGAAGTCTGCTTTTGTTGTAGACATTTAAAAAAGTCTACATTACAAAAATCATATTTGCTTAACACTTCATAACAATACCAAAGAAGCCTACAAATTAAACATAAGTTCATACACAACAATATGTAACTGAACCATTTTCTGTGAAGAAAATGAAAATAAATATAGTTAGCGATCATGTTTAAAAAAACTATAAAGTAGGCTTACCAATACGTCTGCGATTATTAGCTAACTACATGATCAAATGAAAAGTATCATAATTTCATAAATATAACATATTTTCTTTTAAAAATCACTCAAAACATATTAGGATTAACTAACACACATTGTCAAACAAAAAAATCTTGAAAAAACTTAATGAATAATACACAAATTCACTTTTAATGTATTTTCAAACGTAGACTCCATAAGCAGTCTGCGTAAATGTAGACTTTCATTACAGTTTACACATGTAGACTCCATATGCAGTCTTTTATTTAGGTTAGTTTTTGCAATTGAAAATTTTACGGATTATTTCTATATTTGAAAAAAAAAAGTGATTTTATACATGTAGACTTCCATTTCAGCCTACATATCAAAAATGTTAGTTTTTTCAATTGACCAAAAATCACCCAATATTTGACTTACTAAAGTAGACTTTAGAAGCAGTCTACATGTTTGAATTTTTTTGACAAAGGTTAATTTTGCAATTGACCAAGTTTGACTTTTTATTAGTAAACGGAAACAAATGTCTACACACATGTTGACTTCATACGAAGTCTACCCACAAATACGGGAGGTTAGAATTGCATTTGACCAAAATAAAATAGTAGACTTCATGTGATGCCTATCGTTTTTTTTTTAAAATTAGTGTACAGTAATTTAAGTCTACATTTTTTTTTTCTTTTTGGTCAACTTTTTATCATTTTAGTCAAAAACTAACATATTCAACAGAGTCAAATTTGGGTCAAATACAAAACAAACTTTTTTGTAAACTTCTCCGGAAGTTTACGGTCTGTAGACTGCCGACGAAGTCTACATTGAAAAGTCAAAATTTTGATCAAATGCAAAACTAACCTATTTTACGTAGACTTCTTTGTAAGTTTACCTCATTTTTTGTTTTTGTTATCAAAGGTAATGACGTAGACTTCCAAGGAAGTCTAATTTGCATAAACAATTATTCTGGTCAATTGCAAAACTAACATGTGCGTTGACAAGTAGACTGCATCGTAAGCCTACACGTAAGCGTAGACATACGATACAGTCTACTATCGCGACACTAAACTGAAAAATGACGAAAACCATGTAAATAGGTACTTTTTCCGGTGTAAAGCTCGTTTCCACCCTTTTCCACCGTCCAAGCTCCATATATGAAGAAAAAGAAGCAGCTTAGACGACCAACAACAGAGTATACTCGAAATAATGAAGTTATGTTTATGAAAATGAATGTATGTGAGTTTTTTAATGGAAAATAGAGAGCAAATGAGAGGAAGTGGAGATTTGTTGGTTTAGAATGAGAAAAAAGTGGTTGAAAATTGAATTTGAGATGTTTAAAGAGCTTCAAAATAGTGGTTTATGGTGGTTGAAAATTTATGAAGATGGCATTGTTGTAAATAAGAAGAAAAGTTTAGGGTGTAATTGGTTTTTTGTAATTTTTGAAATAATTAGAAAACAAATAATAATAGCAATTCTGTAAATATTTCAAAAACATAAGGATGGTTTATAAATTTCATAGATGAATAGTAATGACAAAAAAAATAGGTTGGTTTTGCAACTAACTTCAATTTGTGGGTTGGTTTTGCTAAACACTCTTTATTTTAACATTTCATAAAAGGGAGTTTTTCAAAATCAACCTACAAATCCAATTCAACCCCAAAACTAATATTTTTTTTCATTACTATTCATCCAAGAAACTTCCAAACCATCCTTACGTTTTTGAAATATTTACAAAATTGCCATTATTATTTG